ACACACACACACACACACACACACACACACACACACACACACACACAAAACTATAAATAAATAACACTGACAGGTTTCAGGTCCCATGAAGGTGCACAATGATCCAAAAATCAAAGGAAGGAGGCGCTGAATGTTAATTCTGTTAAAGGTCAGGGAGTCGGTGCAGCTGGAGGGGCTTTCCTTTACTACCGAGTGTGTGTGTGTGTCTCTAGCTGACAGACTTGAGTTTGACCCAGGCGTTGGTCCCACGGACCTCCAGCGGCGAGTCGTTGCTGAAGATGTGGTTGCAGAGCTCCTCCAGCGGCGGCTCTGGGTCCGATGTGGCGAACTGAGTCGCCTCCTCCACCTCCTTACGGATTGCTACGTCCATTTCCTGACGGGACAGAGAATCTCTCATTATTGGCTGCACGCACACGCACACGCGCACACGCACACCTGATTACCTAAAGGTCCAATTAAGAAGACAGAAAATCTGTGTGTGCACCTTGAACTCCTCCACTGACGCCATGTTGTTGCTGAGCATGCGCTCCTTCAGCATGCTGATGGGGTCGCTCTTACTGCGCACTTCCTGGATCTCGTCCCGCGTGCGGTAGCTACAGGAAGTGACATCACACAGTCAGAACAAACCCGAACTTGCCTTCATGAACAGGAAGTTACCAAACTAACAATGTGGGCGTGGTTTCATATTTGATTTCTGATCCGAGGTTATTTTCTCCATTCATCTGAACCTCTAATTATGAATTTATTTCACTTTTTATATTTGCATACATTTCTTGATTTATTTTCATTTCTCTATTATCTGTACTTATTAATCAATAAAAGTTTCTCATAACATAAATATATTTAAAATGTATCGTTTAGTGAACACACACACACACACACACACACACACACACACTAAAGTGAGGAACCAGAGAAACGAGATGTGACCGGATGACGTCATCACCTGACGCCTGGGTCACTCATGCTGTGTCCATGGTAACGGTAGGTCTGCAGCTCCATGATGATTGGACCCTGAAACCACACAACAAGTCGTCTCTCACAGCCGGCGGCCATCTTTACACATAAAGATCAGCTTCATCGACACGTCAAAGCTTTGAAAACATTTGAATTTGCACGATCGGAGACTCATCGTGTGAGAAGTTAAACCAGAGAAATAAAAAGAAGAACTTTGGGTTTAATTCATCAGTGAGTTCTCCACCTGTTCATCAGCTCACCTTTCCAGACCTGCAGTGGTCTGCAGCAAACCTGGTGGCCTCTCTGACACACAGGACGTCCATCCCGTCCACCTGGGAGACGAGGACGCACGGTCAGAACAAACACTGATAACCCAGCTCTGCTCAGAGTTCTGGTTATCTTACAGAATGTGATGCATTGATGTAGATTATCCACAACTATGAGATACAACGGTGCAGTATTAGTACTTTTACTTCTGTTTGTTTGTTTGCAGTATCATACATGAGCATCAGACAGCTGTATGGATGTTCACACCTGCAACTGCCAGGACGGAGGTCCAGCCTCCTCCTGTTGTAGTCTGGGTTCATACAGGCCAGCTGCAGCATACGGTCCAACAGACACACTGCAGCTACCGCCCAAGACCTCCACGGTGTGTGTGTGTGTGTGTGTGTGTGTCTCACTCTGATTCCTGGTATGTAGTCTCCTCTCTTGTAGTAGTCGGTGCTGGCTGAAGCTCTCTCCACCGACGTGCCCATGCCGTACTTGTTGTTCTCGCAGACGAAGATGCACGGCAGCTTCCACAGGGCGGCCATGTTGAAGGACTCAAACAGCTGGCCCTGGGATCGGAGAGGGGGGGGGTTAAAGTATTCGTACAATGGGTTTGTGGGATTTATAAGAAGTGGGCGGGATGTTTACCTGATTGGCCGCCCCGTCCCCGTAGAGTGAGACGCACACCTGGTTGTTGCCTTGGTACTGGCAGGCCAGAGCAATGCCGGCTCCCAGAGGAACCTGAGCGATGAACAGAGAGTTTCACTTTACACCAAAGCCTCAACAACTCTCACTAACTAGAGGAGGCAGCAGAGCAGCAGCCCTGTGCTCTGAGGTTAAATACTGTGTTTAATGAATAGAGTCTGGTGATAACTTCAAAAAAAAAAAATAGCGCTCACTTAAACTGAGAAATTATGTTCGGAGTCTAAAATACGTTGATGTTCTCCATCTACTGTAGAATATAAAACCTCATCATCACTACGGTCCCTTTAATGTTTTCTTAATGATTATATTATGTCTGTAGATGTGTGTACCTGTGCGCCCACGATGCCGTTTCCTCCATAGAAATGTGGAGCGTACATGTGCATCGAACCCCCCTTTCCTTTGGCCACGCCCCCTTTACGACCTGAGGAGTGATGTTAAATAAATAGATGAATACTTTATTAATCCCGTAGGGGGAATTGTTTCACTACAGCAGCATTTATGGTACAGGTAAAGCAATAAAAATATATATATAAATATATATAAATATATAAATATATATATATAAAAATGCACAATATATACAATAAAATAATATTAACCAACTAAACAAATAAGGTACAATGCCTCCTCCCAGCCTTTAGATGTTAAACTTCTAACCCGTGAGCTCGGCCAGGATCTCTTTGACGGAGATCCCGCGGGTGTACGTGTAGCCGTGGGCGCGGTAGGCGGTGATCAGGTGATCCGAGGGGTTGATGGCGGCCTCGATGCCGACGGCACACGCTTCCTGTAGAAGAAGAAGAACATGAGGACGGGCGGGTACAAGAGCCACGGATTAAATAACAAAATAAAACAATTGGTGGAACTGCACCACTACGAATACACTGAATAAAAAGACAATTAAATGCGTTATTATATTCTGTCCCAAAGACTGTTGTGGTAGATGAAAGGTTTTATGAAGGAAGTTAAATATAAGTAAGAATGTGATTCTCGTGTCTTTTTTTCTGCGGTCAGAAAGATTAAAACGTGAACTTTGTTTAAATGATGTCATAGTCTGCTGTGGTGGTCACCTGTCCGTCATACAGGTGACAGAAGCCTCTGATGATCTTCTGCTTGTAGAGCTGATCGGCTTTGAGCTCCATGCGCCTCACGGTCTGCATGACGCGGTAATACTGCAGACCCTGATCCCGGGTCAGCTCCGCCTGCACCGGAGGACCCTCCTCCAGACGGTGCGCGTCGCACTTCTACCACACAGATAAATAGTGTATTCTATGACCCGTTGATGCAGCTGATTCTGTAGAGTTCGTCACACGTTTAATGCGTTAAAAACTACTTTCAGAGCAGTTCCACTCACCTTGATGTCAAAGGTCGCCTGTGAGGTGAAATCGGCGAAGGAGCGAGAAACCACGACTCTGGCACCCTAAAAAATAAAATAAAAACACATTAAACATCAAAAAACACAAACATGAAGCGCAAAGAAAGATGAAGGCTGCCCTCTTCACAGCAGGTCCAGGGTCAGTGGGGGGGGTCAGGTGGTTCACACTGGACTGGACTACTACAGCGGTATGACGTGGGGGGGGGGGGGTCAGTAACAGGGTGGGAGAACAGCAGCCCAATCTTTCAAACCAAAAACTGGTTCTGGGGTAAAAATTAGAAAGTATTGTATTTAACATCACTGCTGCCCAATACATGATTAAAATAGAAACAGAAAAACAGAAGATTTGATGGAAAAAAGACAATTTGATATTTTTAGTTAGTTTAGATTATTATGAGGAAATATTTGCAACATTACGGTTTAATTCTGAACGCATTTTAGTTAAGCTAACAGAAGAAATTAACAATTTTAGGCCAGAAAATTAATTAAGGAGCAAACTATTTAGAGGAAATATCTAAACTGAGATTATTTTGAGATATTAGAAAGACAATCAGTCTCAGTTTCATTGAAAGACATTAAAATGGTGATTTTTGGAGATTTGGAGAATGTGATGTGTAGTGGGACGTCTCTGCAGCACCACAGTATTTAAATTGAAGATGTTAACATTTAGATTAATAGTCCCAGTCTGAACATAAATAAGTTCTGTTTAGTGTTTTATTGGACTAAACTCTTATTCTTGGTGTTAAATAAAAGCTTCACTTTAAGCAAACAAACTAATCCTAAAAGTGGGTTTTTGTATAAATGAATGTGTAACAGTGAAACACAGTTAATGGGAAAATTAATCATTACTGGAGCAAATATTTATTGATTAGTTTTTAGGTTTTGCAGCTAGATAGATAGATAGATAGATATATTTTAGTAAATCTAATCTTTTGGGGTATTTGAAAACATGAGTAAGAGCTCAGAGAAGTTGTGATATATTTCTATAGACATTCATAACAGATCAGGAATTGAATAATCGTTAGCAGCAGCACTATTACAGTAAATCCATAAAATGATAAACTCTTAAAAAGACAAACATCTGTGATGCTCTACTTAAGATATGAGATTCTCCTTCTTTAATGTCTTCACTGAATGACTTCATAGATCTCTCAGAGAAACAAAAGAAAAGAAAGAATAGATAAGAACCCAGAACTAGCTGGTGCATGCAGCCAGCAGCTGAGAGAGGTTAGTTCCCTTTACGTCTGGATGTTAAACAGACGTTAGGCTTCCCGCCCCTGTTAGTGATCACACATGGAGGCTCCCAGTGCTCTTACTGGTCCGTCCAGCTGGTCTGGCTGGTCGGTCTGGGCGCTAGCTAACGCTCTAGGACTGACTGGTGGTGGTTTGCGTGGTTGCCGCCGGGTCTGAGCCAAGGCGGGCGCCGCCGGAGAGGTTACACTGACGTACTCTGACAGGTCAACCAGCAACTGGGGAACACAGGAGCCAACCAATCAGACCAGAGCACAGCCAGAGGAGGTGTTCAGGGTCTACAGGCGACAACAGCACGGAGACACACACGGACACACACGGACACACCTCTGGAGGCTAAAACAAGCAGAACACACGGAGTCTGGCCCAACAGTGTCCACACTTCACCCGATATTCTTTGATTGGCACAACATTTGAAATATCTTTTACACGCATTATATCACAAATAAACTGAGATATTAAAATCTAAACATTATCTGCTCTTCTGTTTTATATGATTGAACACTTTATACATTTGTTGTATTTTACTCAAATCTTAAAGAAAACTAATTGGTTCCAAAATAATAAACACTGATTTATTCTCAGACACGTCAGTGTTTCATCTTAAGAAGCTAGTTAACGACATCTCTTCTCATAGACGTGAGTAAAGTCTTGTACATTTTGACCATCGCTTACCAAACTAATGCATTGCAACAATAACTTTATTTAAATGCCGATTATCGAGACTGCTGAGGAGTAAACGTTGTGCCAGTGTTGAATATCTCTGGGACGGCTGATAATGAGGTAAACTGTGCCGCCACAGAGCAGCTGATTACATCAAACAACAAACACAAGACGATGTTTAGAACGTTTACAGTTAAATCAAAGAATTTAAAAAAGGACATCTTAACACAGTGAAACAGCTGATTGACTGTATGTAATGTAAGTTCTATCGTGTTGTATTTTAAAAACTCACTGCAAACAAACATCAGCAGAGCAACGAGCTGCTTACCTCGGACACTGTTTGGGCTCCCTGGGGTTCGGGGGGGGGGAGGAGAAGGAAGACATGAATAGAGATTGTTCTGCGCGTGTGTGTGTGTGTGTGTGTGTGTGTGTGTGTAGCCAGAGGGAGAGAGCGAAAGCAAGAGTTCTGCCTTTTCAACCCAAAGCCATAAAAACAGAGTTCCTGCAGTCACACGTTTGTTTTGAGGATCAGTTTGATCATTTTTCGGTGCTTATTTGCATAATTTATAAAACCTGAATCAGAGCTGATGAATGACTGTAGGATCCCTGCGGCCACTGAACCACCACAACATGCAGTCACCAGTGTGTGGTCTGTTGTTGAACAATAATAATTAATAACAGTTAATATGGATGCACTGATGAGTTTTTAATTCAGTATTGCCCTTTATTGTATTTCAGTGAAGTCACATTGTGTTCAGATTAAAGACCGAGCGACCAGTGATTAAAAAACGAGCTGAGAGTTATTAAGTTATTGTTGTGCACATTTAAGAACATGTGAAGATGAAATTCTACACAAGAAAGTACTAATGTTTGTACTTTAAGTATACAGTGTTTTGATGCTAATGTACTTTTATACATTACTTCACGTTTAAAATGCAGAAGTTTTACTTGTAAGAGTATTTCTACACGGTGGGAATGCTTATTTTAGTTCATATATAAAGAATTGTATTTGTAATGATACTTTTACTGAAGTAAAGTAACGTTACTTCCTCCACTAATGCCAACTAGTGGAAGCTAAATTTAGCCTTTAATTGGTTAATGCTTAAACTCGATATTGGTCACACCAGTGTATCTTAAATCAATAAAGCTGCGCGAGGAAGACAAACCACAGACCAATTAGTCTTAAATTAATTAAAGATGAACTGCAGAGACAGAAAAGTAAAAGAGACATGACCACAGCATGCAGAATGTGAAGAAAGAGTCAAACTAGCCGCTGATGCTAACATGCTAACATGCTACCATGCTCACAAGGTCAGCTCCAACCAGCCAAACAAAACCAAAGCTAGCTAGCCGTTAGCATCGGCTAAGAAACGAGCACAAACTCAACATTAACCCCAAAACCCACTCACCACATTCCTGCCAGTGATCCTACAAAGTGCGTTAGAGATAATGGTCAACATGTTTTTCATGCTACTGAACGAAGACCCGGCTCTTAAAGGATTAGAACAGCGGATGTTAGTCGCTGCTAAAGTGCTACTTCCGTGTTAGTGTCCGTGTGAGAAACGACGACGGGTGGAACACTGACTAGCGCAGAGTATTGGTTCCTAGAGGTTTATATAGGGGCACGGAAAACGCGATTTAGAATTGAATTTAATACAAAAATCTGGTTTTTATTTAAACCCCGAAAAACACAAACATTAAAAAAAAAAAATACATATATATGAATAAAAGGAAATAGTCCGTGCCAATGATTAAAACGGTAATGTAAATACAAAGAGGGAACACCTGTGTATTGTTAATTGAATTGACGAATTAACACATTTTAAATGATTAGAACTTACAGGCAAGTTTTAAAGTGTTTTTGTTAACAGAAGATTCAACAGTTTTAACGTAAATTTCTAATTCCTCTAACAAAGCAGGACACTTTAAAAAAAATATTTTTTAAACTACAAGGTTTGTCTTTAGATTTGTGAAAATGATGGAAACCAAACTGCAGTAAGAGACAAAGAGAAATCATTACATATAAGCACCTTTATTAAAAAAATAAAATACAGAAAAATTAATATTTAAATAAGAAATAGATAAAACACATTTTGCAGTTATCTTTTATTTTGACACCAGGGGGCAAAGAGTCAAAAGTGACAAAATTAAGTTAAACTAATTGAAAGCAAAGACACGAGGACAACGGTGGAGTGAAGATAAATAGGAATTTATTTATTGCATTTGAGTAAATATACAACAGAAGGACAGAGAAATGGCGCCCACCTCCTTCTCTGTGACACATTGAGAATGAAGCTTCCCATTCAACACAATATATAAACTGAAGACAGAGTTTTGTGCCTTCAAGCAGCAGCGGAATATAAAAGAGTAACATAATGTAAAACAATGCGGATCAGGAATAAATGAGGTTCTGACAAATCTTATGACCGTTGAGCTGTAAAGTATAAATGAAACAATAAACAAAACAGTCTGTGTTCTACTGTAGTGTTCCTCTCTGCACTGAAGAGTTAAACCCACCAGAACATTTACAGTAACAGGTTGTTACTTTAACAAGGCGTGATGCAAAAGAAAAATAATGTATACTGTAACCCGAAGAGCATTCATTCCTCCCAGCTGACCTCACACACACACGTACACACACACACACGTACACACTCAGTCAGTCAGTCTCTCTCTCTCTCTCTCTCTCTCTCTCTCTCTCTCTCACACACACACACACACACACACACACACTCACACACACAAGTGCTGAAAGGCTTTGGCGTGTCATGCTGCTTTCACTACTCCACAGTCTGATTAAAGTGTCTCTTCCCGTCCAGATACAGCATCGACTCTGTCGCACAAACACAGAACAAAGAGACAAAAACAGCATCGATGAGTTTATCTTTCCTCACAGTAACGGCTGAGTTTCATCCAGGATTCATCCGCCCTCGTCTTTCTGTAGTTTAACGTATAAATCATCGTTTCCACAGAGTGTACACAGTTAAGAGTGTTTATCTGTTACAAGGAAAAGTCCAGCATGAGCTTCAATATATAGTACGTGTGTGTGTGTGTGTGTGTGTGTGTGTGTGTGTGTGTGTGTGTGTGCTCACCTCCATAAGTCATGGGGATGATGTTGGGGACGTCGCGGTCAGACACGAAGGTGAAGTGGAAGACGTTGGTGGTGTTGTGCTGACGGGTCAACGGGTCGAACACCTCGCTGTGAACTCTGACCTGGATGTTCTTCCCCTGTGTGTAGCACACCTGAAACACACACAAGCTCTGAGGTCAATCACTGAGAAACAGACAAACACACACACACACACACACACACACACACACACACACACTAACACTAACACACACACCTGAGAGGAGAGCAGCAGCAGGGAGCCGATCTCCACGGGTTTCTGGAATAGGATATCATCGACGGCCACCAGACTGGGTCGACCTCCTCTGTGAACAAACACAGAATAGTTTTTACTTCTAGTACACACTAACTACTCACAAAGTACACACTGTTGCACCCAGTATCCTCGGCGACACGGACGTCTTTTACTTCTACTCGTGCATCTTTAGTTGGTTTGTTTCTGTCGTCTTTCTGTCAATAACTGACGTTCATTGTTACTCTCAAAGCGTTCCAGCAGCCTTCTCTTTTAACCTCGGCTCCATGAGAACAGCCAGAGAGGTCTGCTGACTCGCACACTGAGCAACGTGAACATCCTGGTACTTTTGTGTATTGGGATATACTGAATAGTTTTCGATCTTTCATCTCACCCGTAGGAGCAGGCGTTGGCCCAGCCCAACTCGTAGGCTTTCCTCATCAGAAAACCTCCAAATATCCTGTTGAAGATGTTCCTCTCCTGGTCAACACACACACATACAAACACTTCAAACTATCTCCAGATTAAGGGAATAAACTACGGACACAAACGTGATGACTGGGCTCAAACTGGAGGAACACTTAACCACAATAATACCTTTAAAAATGGATTTTTAAGATGAGCAGAACAAACTGTGGTGTTTCCATCAAATGTGAGAAACTAACAGAAAGCGCTGTCAAAGGAACAGTAACGTGAGGTAGAATATCTTTTATTTCTTTCTATTAGAGAATTCTAACGTTCTGCATTTCGTCCCTCCAGCTGTTCCCTCATCTCACCTGAGGGTGGCAGATCTCCAGCCCTTTCAGTTTGGCGTCTTCCATCCACACAGAGCTTGGAGGCAGAAGTCTGCTGCGGAAACTGACCGTCCTGTAGAAGAAGAAAACACACACACACACACACACACACACACACACACACACACACACACAGAGTATATTTATAATAGCTCCCACATCTTTTAACTGTATACAAAATCAGAATTACGTGCAGCAATCAAGGGTTTATGGCAGCTTTTAAGGACCATTGTAGGTTAATAAGAAAAGGGGAATAAAGACATACATTTATGAGAAAGAAACGAGATTAAAGTATGCGAAAAACTCAGAAATGTACAATAAAAAAAACCTTAAATGAGCATGTTGCTTTCTTCTGAATACATCGAATGCACGGCAACAGGTCTTCATGATAACGCGGTGATTCTGGACTAAAGTCAACAGTGTTTCCTGATCGATAAATCCGACTGCAAAGTCTGATTTGATGAGATCATCCGCTGTTTGTGGTGTTGAGAGGTTGATCCAACCTCGCAAAGTGAAGAGTGACCTGGTTCTTAGACAATATTTTCTCTCTCTCTTTATAATCTCACAGAGTATTTGAAGAGTTTTCTCCTAAATTAGTGATGTTTTTTGGTTTGTAAATTGTAAATTCAGAGTTTTTCTCACGTAAATGTTCCCGTCTAACCTCAGCATGGTTTATTACACAGAATTATCTGAGAAGCCGTCGTTGGAAAATGTTTGTAAAAAGGGCAGGAACATCCCAAAAAAGATGTGGCAGGTGATTGGATGAACTATCTGTCAATCAAACTCTTAGCGAAGTCAGTCGGAGGAAGTTTCATCGAGGAAAGCCTTCAGCGTCGTTCTTTGCTCTTCTTTCAATGAAGAAATACTCTCCAGCTGTGATAGAACGGATGCTGTTGCTGCTTCTAACTCTCCCTCCGCCTCTGTAAGTTATTTATTTTTAGCTACAATGTCCCGAACATGCCGGCGTAGATGTTAAAGCCGAACTAATCGCATATTTCTGAAGTGACGTTACTGAATCTAAAATGTTAAAAAACTACTATAAATGTTATTCCCAAGATCCAGACCTTCTCTGTGACCGCTACCTCGCCAGACTTCCATATATAGAGATTAACAAACTTTATCAATGACCCCATTATTGATTTTGGAGGATGATTTCACTTAAAGTCTCAGAGCATCTCAGTCGTACTTTGTGTCCAGCGTGTTGAGGAACAGACTGTGAACGATCTTCCTCTCCTCGTCCGTGGGCGCCGCCTTCAGCAGCGACGCAGTGCTCAGGTCCACACGCCGGATCTTATTAGCTGGAAAACAAAGAACACAGAATGACACAAACAATACACAGAGTTAGAGAGCTTTCTGTCACCTTCACAAAGGTTGTGTCAGGATCTCATACCTTCTCCTTCCTGGAAAAGCTTCTCCTCCTCTGGACCTTCTGGCTTCAGAGGATTTACATAAGCTGCCCTGAAACACAGAAAAAAGACAGAAACATAGAGTTAATATCAAGCTTATGTATAATATAACAATATATTACTTCAACACAGGTGGAAAGTAACGAAGTACAATTTAGAGGTACTTCACTGGAGTCTGTTTTACTCCACTACACTCATCTGACTTTAACAAGTTAAGAGGTTGAATCGAAAATTAATTGGCAACTATTATACGATACAAACTAAAAACATTTGATGGTTCCAGAAGTAATAATGTTAATCATGTAAATGTATTAGTAATACTGTTAATCATGTAAATGTATTAGTAATACTGTTAATCATGTAAATGTATTAGTAATAATGTTAATGTGTAGTGTAGGAGCCGTTGGTTACTTCCTGTATACATTGATGCTCATTCTGTGTAAACGTTCCTCAGACTGTGTCCTACCTCTTGTTTTCTGGATCCCGGGCCACCATGACAAATGTTGCATCCAGAACCGGAGAATAAGCTCCATTGTGGAACTGGAAGAAGAGTCACATTGTGAGATAACAGCTTATGTCTCGGTCAGATGTTTAAGACGCCTCGCTTTATGTATTTACCTTCATTACCTCCATTGGTGTGGTTTAATCTCAACACCACAATCCCCTTTTATCTTTCCTTATCAATCATTTCTTTCTTCTACTTCCCCAAATAACTAAACTTAACACGTGTGTTTGTGTGTGTACCTGTGACATGTGCATCTTGGCTTCGATAGAGGTCTTTCCCACCCACGTCACATGACCAGTGAACTTGATGTCGCAGTCAGGGTAGATGATGTGCTGTCTCATGTCTGTCCGACGGAGGGGGGGGGGGGGGATTCATTAATTAACTGACCAACAACCTAAAACTTAGTTCAATCCAAACAGACTTACCGATCTTATCCACCAGGGCAGTGACGATGGACAGAGGAGACCTCTTCAGCGCCACATTATAGGTGTGAGAGTAGGAGATGAGGACTGAGGAGACGAGGAAGAAAAGATGTTAGTGTTTGACTGTGTTGAACTGTGTCGACTTATAATGGAAGTGAATGTGTGTCTTAGTGATACCTGCTAAACTGTCCAAGTCCTCCAGGATTCTACCAAACCTGAGAAGAGACAAAAGTAAGAGGGAGGTGAGTTCTAGTTCATATGTATGTGTGTGGGTTTGATTTTCTATCCTGGTGGGGTCCATCACCTGACATCACTCACGCTATGTCAGGTGATATAGCCATGAAGGTGATATGACCAAAGGCATGCGCACTGCAATCAACAGAAAACAGTCTGCTGATATGCCTGGTGCATTTTCTTGAAAGTGGACCCCACAGACTTCATTTACAATACTCCGTTTGTGCCCCAGTGGTCAGAGATGGTGTTGCGGAGTGAGAACTTGCATTGGTGGGGTCATGTTCCTGAGTGTGTGTGCGTGTGTGCGTGTGTGCGTACCTGACAGTGTTGTGGAAGGTCAGGTACTTCTCTCTGAGCTGTGGTTCGGAGCCCAGAGGCAGGTGCACCTCCAGGTAGCTGTCCTTCATCCTCTTGGCTGGAAGGTCGCTTTGAGACTTCGCCAACATGGACGACAGCGACACGCGCTCCGACATGGCCTGCTGGTGGTCGCTGCACACACGAGAACATATTCAAAACTGATCCACAAATGATTTCGTTAACATTGCGGGCATTTGGCCTCGGTGGAGATCTTTCTAGCTTTGGTTTATTTTTCTATAATTATGTTTATTTTCATGCACCGAAACAAGTTCCTTGCATGTAAAAACCTACTCGGTTCAGAAGCCAGTTGCAGTTTACATCCACGTCTGTCATTGCATCTCATTTGTGTGAAAATTGTCATAATTAGAATATAAATTGTTGAGTTGCAAAGTTTGATTGTTGAAATAAAGTGAGTCAGTTACAGTGCAAAACTTTATCACAAATTTGAGGGGTTGAATTAACAGAGAATAAAATGTCAAAACAATAATTCCAGTACTTGAGTAAATGTACTAGTTATATTGCACAACTGGCTCAAAGTAGGACTTGATTGGTAGAAATATAACAATAATGTACCATACCTGCACAAGTATAAAAAGATTGTTTGTTATCGATAGATATTAGACACAAAAACAAACGAACGGAAACAAAACAGCAGAAATGTGATGTTCTCTTGTTGCTTTGACACAAATGGTTCAGTACCTCCAGTTAGTGGAAGCTCCCACGATTTCTCTCAGCCTGTTTCGTACTGAAAAACACAAGAAACACAATCAGATCATCTATGTGTGTGTGTGTGTGTGCGCGTGCGTGCGTGCGTATGTGTATATGACAGTGTGTGTGTGTGTGTGTGTGTGAGAGAGTGAAAGCACCAAAAGTTCAAGGCTATACGTTTCATACCGTCTCGGTCACAATGAGGCTGTTACACTTTTGTTTTTACAGCTGAAGCCTTCAGGGACACCAGTTCAGTCACTTTAAGCTGACATGACGCACTAAATATTTTATTGTGATTATGTGCTCTAATAAAGGGCACGACTTATTCCTCAATCTCAGAGATCTTTAGTGATAACATTTAAGTGAACAGAGTGATCTGATGGTGAATCAAACCATCAAATGTCCGTAATTCTTGCAGCTCATTGAGGCCCAAAACAGTGAGACAATATGAAACACAGAGTACAGATCGAATAGAGGCGGCTATCGCGTGGGAACCAGCTGCGACAAAATACTGAAGCTCAGTGCAACAGAGGGAAGAAGAAGGTCGACAGACGCCACCATGGAATGCTGTGGAGCCGGCATGAACATTACAATCCAAACAGGAGAGCAGTACAAAGTGTATTAACGAAGGTGTAAAAGAAGACGGTAACATGCAGGAGCCATTAAAGTGCAATTAGAGCAAATTAGAAGAGACTGGCTACAGGTAGGAGTAGTTCAGATAGATACGATTCATCTTGGTTTACCAACACGCACCATTAGACACGTGTAAAAGTGGATTTCCTGTGGAGAAACAGAAATGATTGAATGGGTATTTTACACATTGAATTATGTCACCATGTTACATTTCACGACATTCATTCAGCATCAAACATTTGAAGTGCGTCCCTCTCAAAACCAGCAGCTGAAGCCGTGTTCAGTGCCACAGCTCTGAGTGCTGACACGGGTTGTTTTTTAGGAAGCGAGACATTAGCATGCGCTAGCTAGTAGCGACTCTGACTTCAGCAGGAAGTTCATGACGCCGGAGATTCATTTGTGAACTTTGTTCTTGAATTTGAACCTGCTGTAAAATGTCACAAATGATCCTAAAGCTCAGGACAATGTCTAAAAAGGGCTTGTTTGGTCCGACCAACAGTCCAGAACAGAAGCCCGGTTCTGAACACCTGTAGTTCAGAACCAGACCGTAAGCCTTTATATTGTCACATCCACTGAAAGTAGTCAGCTGATACCAATTCAGACACCTCAACTCAGGTTGTTTTCCAAAACCATATGTGGTGAGATCATGCAGCAACAACCTCAAGAGACTGTGGTATAAAGCTTCAGGGCCCGTTTCCTTGTCTAAGGTTCAAGGGACGTAGATGTCACGTTTAATGTCCCATTGCGACAGTAAACGGCATCAAAGTCCAGCAAGTGCTTGTGTAAAAGCCATCACAAGGGAAGCTGTAACCATAAAATGACTTTAACAATAAAGCTGCTCACTTCAGCTTTATGATCTGGTACGAACACGTTCTGACCCAGAAGTGACGCACAGGTTCCTCTCTGCCAGCTGATCAAACTGAGGAGCCATTTATTTAAAGTTACAGTGAGGAACTATTACCTGGTCCTGAACCAGTCTCAGTGTAGTCCTGATCCTCTATCAGACCTCCATCAGTACAGAGACCATCAGAGAGAAGGTGGTCTGTTTCTACAGAGTTATTCTTAATGCTCGTCATCAGAGCCACTGGGTCGGATTCTCCTTCAACTCAGACTCCAGCAGAGACCGGCTTCACCTGCAGCCCTGGACCTGCAGTCGGAGCTCCGGACGGGAGAACCAGAACCAGGACTGAGAGGAGCAGACTGTCAGACCCTGCTGCAGTAGAATGAGAGGTTTTCTGAAGAGACTCTGGTGCTCAGAGACACGACAGCTTTAGTCCACAGGGACCAACAGAACCAACACTAAGTTAAAGTTCCGCACAGTAACTTTAAATATTTCATTTTCTATTTCAATCGTTGGTAAAGTTCTGAGATGTTGGAGGGATTCACAGGTCTGGAACCAGCTCAGTCAGCAAAAAAAATAGAATCCAATGCAAAAAAAAACAAAAAACTTCCTGTACGACCAGGACGGCACTCATGTCTATAATGAGTCAGTCAAACAGGAAGCACGGCGGCCATCTTACCTTCAGCCATGTCCGGCGCCCGGCCCGGCTTGGACACGCCCCCCGAACAAAACGACCGGGTCGTGACGGACGCAGCCGACCGCAGCAGCAGGAACCTGCAGGACACAAGAGGACATGACAGAATACTGAATAAACACACCAGAGAGGACCTCTGAGTCAAGGAATCCAGTTACATCCACAAGCATCCTATTCTAAATATAACCGCCATCTGATCTGTGTTTAATCCTGCTGCTCCACACACAGACTCTGACTGATGGAAAACCTGTGTTGTTGCCAAACACTTCACCTCCATCTGCTCCGACATGTTCCATTAAAAACAGAAGAAGAAGAACGTCACAAAGCACAGTTCATCCAGACGCTACTTCTTACGCAATAAAGAGACAACACCCATAACCGCAGCGCCACTTTCTAAGACTTTTACTCCAGAGACAAATATATTTAAAACATGTAAAAAGTGCATGTACCTCTGAGATGTAGTACAGTAAAAACTACAATATGTACCTCTGATGTGTAGTACAGTATAAACTACAATATGTACCTCTGATGTGTAGTACAGTAAAAACTACAATATTTACCTCTGAGATGTAGTACA